CACAACTATGTACTACAATTCTGTGTGATCCTCACAAACCTTGCTCATCTTAAACCCAATGCTGCAGCCACGCTGTCCGTCTATATCACTGAGACAGTCTCAGTCTTTCTCACTAACGTTGTCTGTACTTTTTCAAGCATGACATTCTTCTCCAAGAATTAGTCCCTCCTGATAATATACCCAATGTGAGATGTCTTATCAGTCTTGCTATTTTTTTTTAATTGTTGTGTGCCTTTGAATCGGATCCAACTGATACAGGAGGAGATTACCCCTCCTTCAGCAGAGCATCTGGTGGATTTGAACCACACGCCTTTGGGACTGCAGCGCCACTTCTTGCCACTAGCCACCTGAGCTCTCTTTTCATTCTCTCTTTTAAGAGGCATTCTGATTACATTTCTTCCAACTCAAGCCTGTTTGTTCTTTTGGCAGCCCATGGTATAATTAACATTCATCATCAACATTACAATTCTAAGGCATCATTTCTTCTTTAGCTTACTTAAATATACCATATTAATAAATACTCTGATTTTGGAAATAGTAGGTATTTTTTTATATACTATATCTTCCTCTGAAATACATTGGTTATGCAATTTTATCATCTCCTGGGGACAATTTTTCTCTAACTTTTAAAAGTTACTTCTCGTTATTGTTGTTGTTGTTAGGTGCCATTGAGTTGAACAGACATTCATACAGATAGGTATGCCCACCTGTGCAGAGCTCTGTGCTTGGCCGGGGCCAGGTGGACAATGGAAGTAGATGAGAGGGGAAAGTGGCGCCAGGAGAAGAGGGGCCAGGGAGGGGCCTGTGGGAGACAGGTAAGCAAGGGGAGGCCAGGTTAAGGAAGAGACAAGAGAGTAAGGCAGGCAGGGAGGGGTGAGGGTAGAGCAAGCTGGATCCACAATTAACACGCAACAGTCAAGTCTAAAGGTGAACTGTATTGAGTAAATCCACTGCCAAGAAGTTCTTTAAAGGGTTAAAGAGCAAGGATACTACTTGGTAAGGCATGTCTGACCAACTCATGGTACTTTCAAAGCTGGACAATGAATAAGGAAGACAGGAAGACTTAATGATTGTGAACTGTACTGGCAAAGAACACTGTGTGCACCATGGATGGCCAGAGAATAAATCTATCTGGGGAAAAGTGCATCCCCTTTGAAGAGAGGAGAACGCGGTTTCATTTCGCACACTTTGGGCATGTTATCGGGAGAATCCAGATTCAGATTCAGAATCAGAGAAAGAAATCATGTTTGGTAAAGTAGAAAGTCGGCAAAAGAGAGAACGATCCTCAACAAGTAGATTAACATGGTATCTGTACCCATGGGCGCATAGACTGAGGATGACGTAGGACTGGACAGTGTTTACGTCTGGTATACCACGAGTCATTCGTAGGACTGGACAGTGTTTACGTCTGGTATACCACGAGTCATTCGTAAGACTGGACAGTGTTTACGTCTGGTATACCACGAGTCATTCGTGATGAGTTGGAGCTCACTCAACAAATGGATGAACTCAGGACTATCTAAATTGAAAGTTCAACATAACTTAAAACATAAAATTAGGACCAAGAATAACAAATTCAAAATGCTGTGATCTTTTATTTCTAGTTATCTGATTCTACATCGAAGTGGGCTGCCAGTCATTACTCTGTATTAGTGTCAATAACACCTTCTTAAACAGCTCTTTCATTTATTCTTCACTACCTTTTTATTTTCCTTATACACTTAGCGTTATTTAAGTGTCTACTTATTTATTCAGTACACTAGTCCTATCATTAGGGAGCTCTGGTGGCATAGGGGTAAGAAACTGCACTGCAATCCCAAAGGCAGATAGTTTGAATCCACGAGCTGCTCCTCAGGAGAAGGATGGCAATCTCCTCCTGTGCGATTTACTGCCTCTGAGAACCCGGGTCAGATCCAATGCAACAGCAAATAACAACCACCATCACCAGCCCTATCATTATAGTAAAACAGTCACAGACATTGCTGTGGAGTCAGAATCAGCTGACTCTCCACCAGGTTTTCAAAGGTGATAAATCACAGAGGAAGACACTGCCCATCTTTGTCCCAGGGAGCCTCTCTCTGATGGATTCAAAGCAAAAGCACCTTTCTTGTGCTTTGAATCCTAACAGAGTTCTATTTGTACTCTCAGTATAAAAGGAGAAGCCACAGAAGATAACTTGAGAGTAGGGTTTAGGGCTATTGCATATAAGGACACTATGAGTCACAGGCGACTCCACGGCACATAACAAGAACAATCCTTTCCAGTCATGAACATTTGGACTGTTAAGCAGCATGGTGTTCTTATTAATTCTATGACCAAAACTATATTTTATAAAAGATGACTAACATTTTTAAAAGACAATAAATTCTAGTCATAATTAAGAATTAAGTATCTAAGAACCATAAATGACATAGCTGAGCCTCTACATCTTGTGGTTCCTAACTTCTACACTATAATAGACAAAGTGCTAGTCTATAGGCCTTTTATTGTAAGAACCACCTTCCCTCTGTAACTTGATTTGTGCCACTATTAGAACCTCTACTCAGAATATTATTGCTTGTTAATTTTTGACTCATGTACTTTTAACTTGTTAGTTAAATTTGTGTCTTCTAGGCTGCAACACTTCCATGATACATCTTCAAGGATATGAACATGTACAGCTAAGCACAACTGATAACAGTGCATCTAAATTCCAAAATCAGTCTCCATAATAGTCTATGTGTTTCCTACTGCCAAAGGGGCCCTTTAGAGTAGTGAGAGAAGATCTTCACCCTGAAACCCACAGTGTCCCTTTTCAGCAGGAAGTAGCTAAGAGAATACACCGTCCCCTTTTCCTTATGAATCAGGGTGAAGTCTCTCTCAGGGAGGAGTGATAGGGAATGGCAAAGGACACAGTGACAAAGGAGATTAATCAGAACTGGCTTTGACAAGCACCGTGGCAATGGGACAATTAAAACAGACATTCGGGGGAGGGGCGGGAAGAAGAACGAACTGGGGAGGAGGGTAGAGAAAACAGTGCAACAATGAATGAATGAAAACCCAAAATCTCTGTAAATGTTCATTAAAACTAAAAAATTTAATAATAATTTTTTTAAAAATAATTAAGTGTCTTTATTATAGGGCTTCGCCTGACATACTTCGGACATGCTGTAAGGAGAGACAGGTCTTTGGAGAGGGACATCATGCTGGGCAGAGTGGAGGGACGGGCAGGAGGGGAAGACCCTCTATGAGGTAGATTGATTCAGTGACTGGGGTAATCGGGATGGATGTGTCAGAGGCAATGAGATTGGCACAGGATAGAGCAGGGCTTAGGGCTGTTGTACATAGGGTCGCTATCAACGGCACATAACAAAACAACAAATAAATCCACACTATTTATTAGGTTTTAAAACTACTTAAGTTTCAAAGTGCTTTGCTAAGTAGGGCTTAATTAAAATAGGAAAAGGTATCAAAAGGAAAGCACAGAAAATCATAGCAGTTTAAAAATGCTATTATGTACATTAATTACAAAACCAAAATAAGAGTATCTTTTTCTTGTAAAGTGCTCTTATCATTTTATGCAACTTTTTACATTACAAAACAGTAACAACCAAAAACTAGAAAACCAAGAGACTTACTAACCCTTTCTCACCAGTTTCTTTTTTGTTGTAGGAGTAGATGGAGTAATGGCACATGCAAACTCTGAATCCTCTTCAATCTGGGAAATGCCTGCTGTAGAAAAACCAGACTATTAAAATACAGAAGAATTCACTCTCAGGTTTAAATACACACACACTTTTTTAAAAATTCTTACAGTTATTTTTGTGTGAGTATACCGTCAAATCAGATCTGACTGGTACAGGAGATTGTCCCTCCTTTCCCAGCAGAGCATCTGGTGGATTCAAACCATGCACCTCTGGGATTGTAGTTGCAGCTCCTTGCCACTAGGCCACCAGAGCTCCCCACACTTTTTTTTTTTAATTGCTTGTCTAGACAGACGCCCAGAGCAGGCAGGGCAAGCGGGCTGGGGGCTTGTCAAGTACAATAAAGGTGCCCTCAGCGGATGTGAGCCTTGTCAACAACGAAAGGTGTCTTCATGCAGCCAGTGCAGAGCTGGGCCATCCAGAGCCGGGCTTCGTGCTGCCAAGCCAGCGAGTGCATGTACTGCTCCGTGTTGATGATGCGATCTCCCGCTCCAGCTCGGGGATGATGGCAGCATGAGGTCTGCCAGGTAACCAGAGGCGTGGTCTCCAAAGTAGAGTAAAAGCAGTACCCCCGCCATTCTGTCAGGTGCAGGAAGTCAAACAGGTTCCCCTGTCAATGAATCTTGCTCTTCTCCAGGCGGGTGATGCGATCCCACTGGAGTGAGCCCTTTTCATCGAATTTTCAGAAAGACTTGCGCTGGCTGGTGAAAAAGCTGGGCTTGTCTGCCTGGCACCAGTCAGGGCCCCCCATGTGCCTCATCCCCTCATCTACAAAGCTGAAAGGGCTGTTGGTGATGAGAAGCAGTTTTCATTAGCTTCTGGGCAGATGAGGACAGCGAATGTCTCACCCCCTTTCAAGATATATTTCTCCTTGTCCCGCTCCATCCACCGGTACATGAGGCCCTTCACGTGCACATCTCGGATCACATCCTTGTAGAGGCGCGCCTGGTCAAATTCCAGCCCGTGGCCAGGAAGTGGCCCACCCCGCAGGCAGCAGTGCCATCTTCAGCAGGGAGAATGTCTGTGAAACCCGTGGTAGAGGGACCCTCGCCACAGACGCTGCTCATGTGGTACAGGGGGATGTGCTGAGTGCCCCCATACAGGTCAGTCACCTCCTCATCTGGAACAGGCTGGAGGCCCCTGGAGGCTGTCCCAGCTGCATGTAATCGTAGTTGTCAACCTTCATCAGGAGGCTCTTCTGGATGTCGCAGCTGAGGCCTCAGATGGCAAAGCTGGGGTTATAGTCATACTTGCAAATCCTCTCTGGGTACCTGTAGTGTTCAAGCAAGACGTCCCAGGCTGCACTGAAGATTTCGGGGTGCAGCGAATCTGCACATTGTGCCAGGATACAGTCGTATTCAAAGCCATAGACCTCAACATCCAGCAAGCTGATCATAGATGGCCGCTGGGTTCAGCAGACTGCAGACTTCAGGGGGAAGGAGGTCGTGCACTAGTCTCCGCATGTCCTAGGTGGCCAGAGGTGCGCGGTGGGGTCGGTGCAGCTGGCAGGCATAGGGGCGAGTGTGGGGTGCAGACCGCCCAGGCAGGGGACCCCAGGATCCAGGGATCTGCAGCCTGGGCAGGTGACCTCAGGATCCAGGAATCCACAGCCCAGGCAGGACGAGGAGGCTCGCGGCCTGTCATGGCCTTGGCACAGTAGACAGCGCCGGGCGGCCACCCACATCCCCATGCCTGCCATGCCCACTGCCCGTGCTGCCCACCGACTGAGTGGCCCTAGACACACACACTTTTTGATCAAGAGGAGATAGATTACCACTTCTATATTTTCTATGTTAAGAACTTCTATTATTAAATAACTATTTCGCTATCAATGCTGACGATCCTGACACTAACCATTACCTCGAGTTCATAGGAGTGAGACCCATGTGAGAAACTGTCATTCTCTCTGACAAAGTAAAATGAAGAGCTTTTTTTATTTAACGTCAAACAAAGCTAACTCATGGGGACCAACATGAGTGAGAACTGCTCCTGAGGGTTTCCTTGGCAACAACCTTCACAACACGGATGTCAAGTCTTTTTCTCACAGACAACAGCTAACTCCAGTTAGCAGTCAAACAAGTAACCACTGTACCACCAGGGCGCCTTGAAATAAGAGCAAACATATGCTAAATGAATATTCTCAAGAAAAGGATTATTGACTTCTGCTACTGAGGCGGCCTAAAGTCAGACAGAATCATTATATTCTAAATTCAACAGTTTTCCAATTATTAGGAATATGTAAAGACATAACTGAATTCATTGGAGAAAAAATGAAACCATTTGTTTTAGATGCAGGGGAAGATAAAGATCCTCACTGATTATTTCTACATTGCTATGGTAACAGGAATTCGCAACAGTACTACCAAAATTGCATTTTCAACCAACTTCTGCAATTACTATGTACACACAATGAGATGAAGTGACCCAGTGAGCAGAACAGGGGGTACAGTACAGTGGAGACTGAGGATGGGGCAGCATCAGGCAGGGTTTCGCTGTGTTTTACACAGAGCTGCTCTGAGTCCAAGTTGACTCCACAGCACTTAACAAATCTCTTATTTGTACATATACCATAAGATTTAGGAAGGCAATTTTCTAAGTAGCATAAAATTGTCTTTCACTTAGTTGAAATATTATCCTTTAATTTCCTCTGAAACAGTTCCCTTATTTTAACTGATTCATTTAATTAACACCATCAGTAAGTTTCATTTCATCAAGGTTTCAAATGGAAGGATCAAGTGCGTTTATCATCTATTAGTAAAGAATTCAAAACTAGAAAGTCACAAACTAATAGAGCTTTAATTTGTAAGCACAGACTGTTAAGTATTAGAAAAATGTATGAGCCTACCTTTTCCCCTGCTTTTATTCCCCAACTTTGCATTTTTCAGTTTTCCTAAAAAGAAATCAAACATAAAATGAACGACACGAAAAGATTACATTACAGGATAAAGTAACAAATCAAATTAATTTCGTATCACCTTTTGTTTTATGTGGTATTTCACTTGTTTCGATTTCCTCTGAATCACTGCTTTCCAGATACGTGCAAGCAGTTTTCCTTCTAAAATTAAGCACACACAAAGACAATTTTTACCAAACCACAATAAAATGTTTAAAAGATAAGTTTAATAAAGTAATACAAAGGCTTTTTGTCTTTTTTTGAGGACAAGAAAAACTATTTTTTTTCCAAAATTGTTGAAAACTAATTCAAGGGAAACTTTTCATTTGATAAAACAAAGTCAAATATACGAAAAAAACTATCTGCTTTCATGGCTATAACACAATTATTATAAAAACTGGCATAATGAAACAAAGTTAAAATAACATAATTCACAATGAAAACATTTGTGCATAAACACTATGGCGTATTCTCATTACTGTACTTCTCTTTACTACGATTTATAGATATGGCTTTTCCCCCTCTTTTTAATAAACTGTACGTGGCAGCCCTACATCAAGCAAGTCTATCAGCACCATTTTCCGAAAGCATTTGTTCAATTCTTATTTTTATGTCATATCTTAGTAATTGCTGCAACAGTTCACACTTTTCCATCATACTGTTTCACACTTACTAGCATACAATTCTTAAATACAATGAGAAAACAAAAAGTTCATGTAACTTGATTTCTTTAATTACTGGGGTCTGAAACTAAAGCCATGGTATCTCTTGAGTTTGTAAAGCATTTAACAGTCATGACTACTTAGAAGAAAATTCTCATTTTTCTATCAGTCATCTATGTGACTAAGTCACTCAATATTTTTCTAAGTCTCTGTTTTTCCAATTGAAAAATGATGATAAAATCTACTTGATACAGCAATGTATTATTATGTGAGAGTTTGCACAGTGTATAACAGAGCTTAATAACTACATTGCCTATACTGAAACCATTATACTGTTTACCTTTTCGGGCGGGAACAACTGTCTGACAAAGAATATTTATTCTTCTCTTTGACATCTGAAATACTGGGTTCTCTGCTACATCTAGGCCCTTTTATTTCAAAGAAGAAGAAAAAAAACAAATGTCAGAGTATTAATAAATTACCTTAGACTATCAACACTACTCTTAATAACATGGTTTTTCAACTTTCCTAACTTCTGTCTTTCTCTGAAACGCCTGTTTTCTCAATCAGCCAGCTACTTTTTAAAAAGTTACTTTCTAATCTATCATTTTCTCATTTGAACATTCTTCCGTTTTTTTTTATTGCTCACCCTGCCCCATAGAGGCAATGCCCACACTGACTGAATTTCCTGCAGTCCCAAGGCTGTTGAGAGCTAGGACAAAAATACAGAACTACAAGTGAGTGGTACTGCAAATTCACCTTTTCCAACCTACCTGCTGACTTTCATCATTTATCAGTGCTTACTTATCACTGCTTGGTCTCCCGTCTCACACATCACAATGCTCCTCTCCCTAGACTCCAACAGCTTAGGTCACTTCACAAAGCTATTCCAATGCCATCTTTCATAGATTTCCAATTTCCCTTTGCCTTTACCTCATTAATCATTTTTTCTTCAACCTCATTTTTTTTCCCACTTCCACCAAGATAACCATCCCTTCCAATTTCTACCTATTCTCTGAATCACATATCCTCCCACATGTTGACCAATACATTTCCCTACTATATAGACAATTTCTTCCTAGTCAAATGTCTTTCCTACAACAAAAAAAAAATACACTCAACCTCTGTCTCCAACTATTAATTCTATTTCTCCTTTCTCAAACTTAGCAAATTAACAGTACAGTCATTATTGTCAATTCTTCAACTACTAGTCTTATCTTAAAACATTCTCTAGTCTTCCCTGTTCTAACCAATTTTTTTAATTAATGTTAAGAAAATCTTATTAACTATTAATACATAATCAGTTTTCTATTTCTCTTCTGACTTCAGAATTTGGATAATACTCATCTTTCTAGTTTTGCTGAGCAACATTATACTATAAATATCACAGGTCCCAGAATAAAACATGCAAACCCAATGCAAACATCACACTCCCTTAATGGAACTTTCCTTAACAGTCACCAGGAAATCTTTAGAAGAGATAGACTAAATTTTTCTGTAGCATAAAACCATCACAGTGAAAACCTAACTCAAATATTCAGCCATGTCCAAAATTAAAACCTACCTTTGATTGGTCCATCTTCTTTTTCAACAGTGTTTTCTTCTTCAAGTTTCACAGGTTCACGAACTCTATATTCCTAGAAGAATTGACACAGTACATGTGAGCTCTGCTATCAGTTCTAAGAAAACCTAAAGTGCATCCAATTTTATATAACTCTACATTTTAAAAAATTGCTGTTGAGTCACGTCAATCTCCTGATCAGAGCGCCATCGGGTTTTCAATAGGTATGATCTTTCAGCAAAGGGGTTCTTTTCTTCACAGGAGCCTCTGGATTCAAACTGTCAAAAGTTTCAGGTTCCTAGCCATGGCTTAGTCATATGTGCCACCCAAGGCAGGGATGGGATTCCTTTACGTAAATTTGAGAACAATAAAAAAACCCCAAAACTCGTTTCTGTTGACTTCAAACTGCCTGACAGCCGATCCTTCAGTGGGTTTCCCAGGCTGCAGATCACAAGAGAGGAGATGGCCCATTTGTTTTCCACAGAGCTGATGGTGGATTCAAATCATCAGCCAGGCAAAGCCGCTAGGTTAACTCACTACTGTTTACCACCAGAGGTTCTAGAATTACAGGAAGAAGCAAAAACGTATACATGTGTATATCAGGAAACAGCAGAGACTAGGCAGGGTAGAGAAATGGATCGAATAACAGAATTAACTTCCAACAAAATTAGAAACAAAATGCAACTGAGTGCAGAAACTCTCAAAACAGAATCTCTATAAACACAATAAGCAGGAAACTGATGTGCAGTCACTCAGAAAACTATATCATGCCAACAACTATCTTTAAAACACAGCCAGAAGCCTGAGAACATGCCTGTCTCCTGAAAGCCTCTAAGCTCTGGTTCTCTAGCTTCCTCTATCTTGAAGTCTGACTTCCAAACCTGGGATGTGCCTCTAACAAGCATGGGAGCACTTAAAATAAATTCCTCTCTCTCTCTCTCTCTCTCTCTCTCTCTCTCTCTCTCTCACACACACACACACACACACACACACACACAACCAACTAAATCATGAAAAGTCCAAAAGGAAGTACTTTATACATTTTTTTTCTCAGTTACGCAGTCATCTCTACTTATAGCCACTTTACGGACAATGCAGTAAAGTCCTGCCAGATCCTGTAGCATTCTCACACTCTCCTGTGCTTAAGCATAAATTCCCTATTGCAGTCACTGCATCAATCCAGCTCGTTAAGAATCTTCCACTCGTTCAATAGGACTCCATTTAAAACTTCTGCTAAGAGAGATCAGAAACACCAAGTGAAACGCGTACAGATGACCACCCTGGAACTCAAGAGAAGAACAGAACTGAAACCAACACAGCAGCAAGAGAGATGGCCAGAGAGTGACTGAGGGTAGAGGTGAAGCCAAGTTTAGCAACATCCTGCTAGCCTAAGAAGGAGCACTTGGGCACAGAGCAGGCAATCCTACAGAATGTCCACTGAGACAGAACAGTGTGCATAAATTTATGAAACAAAGTAAACCTTTATTAGCAAGCAAAGTGTGATATCTTGAAGCAACCACAGAGGAAGGATAAGCAAATGGGATGGGAACTGTACAGAAGAGCAACCATTTCGACTGACAGCACGCAAAATAGAGGAAGGTCTGTGGGAGGGTGAGTTGAGACAATGGACTCCAGATGACCTCCTATTTCAATTGAGTCTCAGCAGGAACTGGGAAGCGGGCTGCATTAATGTGCACTGGCCCTGACACAGTGATCTGTGACAGGAGAAAGTCCTCATTCGCACCCTCCCACCCCAGCTCCCCGGTCATGCACTCTGGATGACCAGGGACAAGTACCTCCTTTCACAGCCCCACCACGCATAAGGGACAAGGGCAGGAGTTATATAATGATGGTCAATCTATTAAGAGAATATAACCATAATAAGTATTTATGCACCAAAGGAAAAAGGCCCAAAACACATAAAATAAACATTAACAGAATTGAAACAGAAACAGGTAATTACACACATACACACAGATGGGAACTCTTAATACATCAATATCAATAAAGCACTAAACTAGAGAGAAATCCAGAATATCTTAACACAATCAACCGACTCACCTCTAAACATTCTATCCAATGAAAAAACAGTCTGTATTGTTTTGAATGCATACTGACCTAAAAAGTATCCAGAAGTTAGGCCTAAACAAGCCTCAATACATTTAAAAACACTGAAACAACACAGAAGAGGCTCTTCTTGGGTCACAACCTTGTAAAATTAGCAATTAGTAAGAGAAAAAAACCCAAATGCGTGAAAACTGAAGATAATACTCTAATTAAAAGTAAACTGGATAACAGAAGAAATACAAAGTAAAATTTAAAAGTTCCTAGACACATCATTAAAACTAATAAAATTTAATTTAAAAAAAGTTCCTAGACACAAACAAAAATGAAACACAACATACAACAATCTTAAAAAAATAAGAACCAAACAGAGGGAAATAACCCCACCACTCCAATAATCCAATTCAGAACAGCAAGAGAAGGAAACAGTTTAAAAAAGAGTAAAAATTGGAAAATAAGTAAATAATGCAAATAGAAGACAACAGAAAAGATAAATAAGGCTTGTTATTAGTCAACTCTCTTAGAAAAAAAAATATAATGCTGGGAAAAAGGTGGAGGGTCAGCAAAAGCCAGGAGACACTTACCAGGGGGATGACAGTGACTAGAAATATAGGAATGGAGACTGTGAACATGATGTATATTAGTGCAAGGTTTTCAATCTGTTCACACTAGGGCCTCTGTAAGTGGCAACTGACTTGATGCACTTATCAACCTAAAGTAAAACTAACAAGCAGCCAAGTTAACTTAAGTCTTAACTACAATAATCTGAGGCAATTTTACACATTTTCTACTTTGTTGTTAGTTGCTATCACATCGACAAAACCCCATGAGAAAGGGCTCTGAACCTCGCCCTAGCCAATGCCATCTTCATTCTCTCTTAAATACTTAAGCCTGTATTTCAATCATTTGTTTAGTCCACCTCACGGAGAGTGTTCCTCTCTTTCAGTGACCCTCCACCTTCCCAAGCATGATGTCTTCTTCCAAGGAAGGACTGGTCCCTCCTAAACATGCCCAGAGTCTGTGAGATGAAGTTTGATTTGCCTGGTTACACCTTCTCCAAGGCAGATCTGACTGTCCTTGGCAGCCCACAGGATATTTATTATTCTCCAACGCAACTCAAAGTAGGCATCGTAAAAGCTTGTGAACAGGCCTTTAAGGTTTAACTCTCAGCCTCTCTCAATCCAGCCTAGAACAAGGAAGGGCTGAAAGAAGAGATGCACAGAAATAATCTATCTAAGGGACTTTTGCTGTTGTTAGGTGCCATCTTCACACTTCCTGACCCCTGTGGCGGTCACTTGGGGAGGGTCTTCTTCTCTTTCACTGACCTTCCACCTTTCCAAGCATGATGTCTCTCTTCTAGGAACATGCCCAATATGTGGGGTCAAACTTGATCATCTTTGTCTCCAAGGACCACTCTGGCTACACTTTGTCCAAGACATTTGTTTCTTCTTTTTGCAGTCCATGGGATATTCTGAGCTCCTCTCCAATACCACAACTCAAAAGCATCAATTCTTCTGTCATCCTTATTCATTGCTCACCTCTCTGATGCATAACAAGAGATCAGAAAGACCATGGCCTGAAACAGATGCACCTTAGTCCTTAAACTGTTATCACTGGTCCTCAATAATCTCAAAAAGTCCCTAACTCCAGACTTCCCCAGAAGAATATGTCTCCTCATTTCCTGAAGGTTGCTACAAAGGGTGTTGACTGTGGATCCAAGTAAGATGAAATCCAAAGGACTAATGGGCTGTATAAACGTCCATAACCTCCACTACCCCAAGATTAGAACTGAATGGTGCCGGGATACCTCAGCTGACTGCTCTAAAGTGGATCACAGTAGAGGGACAGAACACAAATGGGGGGAAATGTGAAACAAACCTATTTAATCACAGAAATGACCAGGCTTTCTGGGCTATTAGAGACTGGTGGAACTCCCAAGACTAGACTACGGCCCTTAAACACTTTCTGAGCTCAAGTTTCAGCCAAACAACAGATATGTTTAAAAAGTGTATAATAATACCAGGGAGACTCATTCTCTTTGACAGTCAATAAATTCAAGACAAAAAGGACAGTACCTTCCCAAGAAGCAAGCTCAGAAGGCAGGAAGGGATAGGCTAGATGGTAAATGGAAAAAAGAGGGTCAAAGGAAGAAGTGAGAAGAGTGTTGTTACAATGTGAGGATGAGAATTAATGTCATAAAACACAGTCTGTATGACTTAATAGAAAGCCATAAGCTTTATAAACTTGTACTCAAAGCACAGGAAAAAAGAAAAATAAATACATTTAAATCACCCTCAATAGTCCAGAAAATGAGCTACATAGTAAAGTGGTTGGCAATGGGGGGGGCCTGTGTAACAATGAAAGAACTTTTGTTCCAAAGAAAAAAGTGAACTTTGGGGGCAAGGGGGACATGGAGGAAAATGTGCAACGATGAATGAGTGGAAATCCAAGTTCTTTATAAATTTTCATTAAAATTTCAATAAAAAAAGAAATAAAAAAGCATCTTGCACTGAAAAGGAAAAAAATTTAAAAAAAAAGAGAAGGTGGTACCAACTTTTCACTCTTAGAAGCAACACATAACAGAAGCTTCACGCATGTTAATACTTTACCTTCTTCAGTTGATTCTTTTTCATTCTTTCAACAGGAAGAGGTTTGCCATCATGGAAGTTGGTAAGAATTACGGCAATGGCTGTAAGTGTTTTGCCCTTTAAAATGTTTTAAAAAGATAAAATGTCAAATTCTAATTCAGAAAAAAATAACAAGAGCAATTAAAAGTAATCATATATCAGATGTTATTCAAGTTCATGAAATGAGAGTTAAATTAGGAAAGACTTCTCATATTGCACTCCTAGAAATTATGACCTGACTTACACTATAAAATCCCATGAACATCTGAGAAGTCATTTTATTATAATAAAGAAAAATATTCTTAGAGCTCTGGTGACCTAGTGGTAGGAAGCTGCACTGCAATCCCAGAGCTGCGCAGTTCAAATCCACCAGATGCTCTGCTGGAGGCGGGACAATCTCCTTCTGTACCAGTCAGATCCACTTTGACAGTACACATGAAAAAATAATAAAATAAAATTTAAAAAAAATTCTTAAAAATAATAAAGGTGTCTTAAGTCTTCAATTTAGCGCTGTTAATTTTATCATGAAAGTAATTGCAGCTATTTTTTCACCATGAAGTTCAGAGCTAATTTAAGATTAGTTCATTCTAATATAGCTCAGATAATCTTGTTATTATATGTGATCTAAAGATAATATTAAGATTTAAAGCTATAACTTATCACTTAAAAAGTTAACGGGTACGATTATTTTTTCTTCTTCTTTTTCTTGTGAACCATCGAATCGGATCCAACTGGCACAGGAGATTGCCCCTCCTTCTCCAGTGAAGGATCTGGTGGATTCGAACCACGTGCCTTCAGGACTGCAGTGCAACTTCTTGCCGCGAGGCTACCAGAGCTCCCTGGGGTATTTTTGCGTGTTTCTCTTCAATGGAAACAAGTAATTTTTTATTTAGTATTTTCTACAGTTAAGATTGTAACTGGAAATAGAGAAGTCCGTTTCTGTCACTGTTTAAGTTGTAAAAACATTTCTCTAAGTGTAGTCTATAAATGTTTAAGGAACTCCTAGAATTCTTACAGGGTTATGTGAAGTCAAAATATTTTCATAATACCAAAAAACCACTGTCACAAAGTCTCACAGAGATCCTACAGAAAATGCTGAACTCTCTGAGTTTCCAATGTTTTATCTTTACAGAAGCAGACGACTGAATCTTTTTCTTTAAAAGTGCCTGGAAGTTTTAGGGGAGCTCTGGTGGCCTAGTGGCAAGAAGCTGCAACTACAATCTCAGAGGTGCACGGTTCGAATCCACCAGATGCTCTGCCGGGGAAGGAGGAGCAATCTCCTCCTGTACCAGTCAGATCGATTTGATGGTACACGCACACAAAAATAATAAAATTTTTTTAAAAAAAAGTGCCGGCGAGCTCTGGTGGCCTAGTGGCAGGAAACTGCACTGCAATCCCAGAGGTGCGCGGTTCAAATCCACCAGATGCTCTGCTGAAGGAGGAGGAACAATCGCCTCCTGTACCAGTCAGATCCAATTTGACGGTACACACATAAAATAAATAAATAAAAATTTAAAAAAAAAAAAAAAGTGCCTGTAAGTTTCAAACTGACCACCTTTCAGTTACCAGGTAGGTGCTTAACCATTGCCCTATGATGACTCCTCTTCATACTAAGATGATGTATTAACAGCTACACTAATAACATAAAATCAGCAGTCAGGAAAAATGCTGGTACACCTTAGCATGAAACAAAGCAGCAGGATCTAAACTATACTGTCATCAGATTTTTAACTTCTACAGATCCATGATAAACAAAAACAACAACAACAAAAAAGAAAAAATCCAGTTTCACTAAAGAATATTCTTGACCTAACACACATTCTCTACAAGAAAAAGGGAAAATTGTACACACATCTGTTTCTCAACTGTCTGGGGATATATAATTTGTTGTGACTGAGTTGCAAGCTCAATTTGCCCCTTTTTCCCATTTAACACCTTTTTCTTTATTAAATGTTGAATAGTCATTATCCATGACTTGAGTGAGTAACACATTTTCTTGGCAAAGAAAATTAGCTTTCAAGAAAAAAAAATTGACATTTTAGAAAGCATTCAGTATTAAGAATGTAGAGCATCTAAAAATGGAAATGCTTTTCTAGAACAGAAGGGTGAAATTGTTCTTATTTGTTAAGTGTTGTCAAGTCGAGCATGACTCATAGTGTCCCTAGACCCTAATAACTAAAGACCTGAACCGTGTTGTGTAACAATCGTCGCTTCTCTACAGCTACCTTACCGGTACACAGTTTGAATTTACCAGTTGCCCTACAGAAGAAGGATAGGTAATCAACTCCCGTGCAATTTATTGCTTCTGAAAACTCATGGGATGGTCAGTGAGCCAGGTCTAACTCGATGGTACATAACAAAACAACAGTTATTGTAATGGTACCTTAACCAAATCGCAAAACATGTGTGCATACATACAGAGTTCAGTATTATTTTAAGTGAAAAAGAAGGAAAAACTTTTCTATGTTGGAAGTGTAAGTTAGTCCCAGACAAGGAGAGGGAAAGATTACCAAACCCATATCATCAGCTAAAATTCCTCCATGGACATTTTCTGGTCGTTCCTTCTCAGAAAAATTTGTTAACGTGTTATAGTATAAATCATTTCGCTGTTCCCAGAATGGTGGAAGTTCTTCACTGTTTTCTCGTGAAACCATCCAAGCTAGAGCTTGTTTTTGATGTGGCAGTAATGGTGTTTCAACAGCCTAGAAAGAAAAGACATCACAAATAGAAATACATTAAGTCCTTTCTCTTTTCAATATAAAATAAAAAAAAAAAAACCAAAACTTATCTTATGACAAGAAAATGCACAAATTAACATTTTGTTTAATTCAGAATTAGTTTTTTTAACTCAAAATTAGCTTTAAATAGAAAACAGTGGCTCAATACCTCAGCTGGTTCCATTTCTTGAGTTTTATCATCTTCCTTTAAATCTTCAAACAACTTGTCAAATTCTGTTTTAAGCTAAAATAAAAAAAGAACAAAACAAATTAATAATTACCCCAGTATAAGGGATCTTAAATTGTGTAACTGAAAGAGTCAAACATTTCTTTAGATATTACAATGATCACTGATGGCACAATAAAGAAAAAGTGCTTTAGGTATTAAGGTGTAATGGAACTGTAATCAAAAGAATACAAGAAAATGCTAAATCCTGGGTTTCAGTAAAAGTTTTTCTAATAAATCAACTTTTATCTAAATCCAGGTAAGATGCTGAACCTCTTATGGCCCTGCATCCTGAAACGTAGAGTTAAACTTAGATTATCTCTAAGGTACCATCCTGACATTCTATGATCAATAGTTCTTCTATTCCCTTTGCTGTGTACCATCGAATCAGATCTAAACAGGAAGAGATAACCCTTCCTTCCCTAGGGGAGCATCTGGTGGATTTGAACCATGCACCTTCAGAATTGCAATGCAGCTTCTTGCCACTAGACCACCAGAGATGCCTTGATCAATAGTTCGTATAGTCAGCTGCCATCGGGTCAGAACCAACTAGCAAGGCTTCTCCGTACCACTCTGCTTGTCCCTGCACTGATGGAGCCAACTCACTTTATTCAAGGAGTATTTCAATGATCCTCAACTTTTCCGGGGATGATGTCCTTCTTCATGGCCTGGTCCTTTCTGATTACAAGGCCAGATCTTGACAACTTAGCCTCTAAGGAACATTCTGGCTGCACTTCTTCAAGACAGCTTTATTCATTCTTCTGGCAATTCAAGATGATTCAATAGTCTTTGTCAACACCATTACTTCAAAAGATCAATGGTTTTATTCTCCATCATGTGGCCTAGTGACAAGCTGCACTGCAATCTCAAAAGCACATGGTTTGAGGCCACCAACTGCTCTGCGTTAGACTGATGGGCAATTTCCTTCTATGCAATTAACAGCCTGTGAAAATCTGCTGGAGGAGATCTGTGGGTTGGTTCCACCTCTATGGTACATAATATCAACAGCAACTTTGACATGTATATGAAGAACTCCAAAACACCATGACGTGGGTCAGCCCAGATTTTAGTCTTAAAAGTGGTATTTGTGGACTTTAAAGAGGTCTTTTAAAGGGTTGCCCCCCCAACACAATAGGTCATAATTTTCTTTATTATTTCATGAGCACTAATTGTGCATCCAAGTAAAATAAAATCCTTGATAATTTCAGTTATTATTTCCATTATGTATTTGTTGAGTTGTGAGAGTTTTATAGTATTCAAAACATTTTGGTATATTTTATCAGATGCATTTGAATCTTTTCAGGTAAATGACATTTGATTTGTGTTCATTTAATAGAAACTTACTACATACTACAAAACAGCAAGATCACTGTGATGTTGTACAAATATAGTAAGTTCTTTAACTTGACTGAGTTAAATTTTTATGGCAACATATGTGTTGTCATTAATTTTATAAAATAGCAGCAGCTACATTTATGCTACTAAAATTAATAGCAGCATAAAAGAAATCAAATGAAATCTAAAAAATCAGATTTTACAGTAATATTAAAGATTTAAACTTTAGTACTACATTTGCAATCTTAGAATGAGGAAGTTAAGTTTCAAGACTTTTTCCCCCCAACTGATACTATAAATATTTCAAATACAAAAATCACTCCACATATATAGTCATGTCTTTATGCATGTATAGGAGTACATCCTTTATCACTGTTTTTTGATAATTAGTGTCTATTTTTTCATTCACGCACTTTGTATTTCACACATTCCTTCATTAACATTGTATTTCACATGATCATTCCCATACATTGCATCTTACAATATTTATCACTGTTGATCTATGCCAACTATTTCCCTGTCTCTTCAGATCCCCACTGGATTTTCCCCACTGTTCTTGTTTTGCTTTGTTTTTTTTAGTAACTGTTTAACAGCTCTGATTTACTGCTATCAAGTCCAAAGGCACTTAATGTCAGCCCTCCTGCAAATTTTCAGAGGCTTTAAGTCGCACAGGAGATTTTCCAAATCCCTGCCAAGGAGCAGCTGATGGCAGCACAACTCCCTACCCCACCAGGCAAACACAGGATTTAGTCTACAACACATTTCATTATGATTTAACAATGCATATGAAGATCAGTACTAACAGAACATGTTGATTTGTCTTGTTCTTTTTACCATCAATCTTCGACATTTACAATTACGTGGAGATTCCTTCATAAGAGAAGCCCACCTGTTCAGGTGTCATCTGTACTGCAGGGTGAACAGGAACACTGTAACTTGGTCCAGGTCTTCCGGAGCCCCAACAGCTTTCCAAGTTGAATTCTACAGCTATTCATTTATAATATGAAAATAATAAAAATCATCACTTCTTTTTATTTCAAGAATAGTTTCAAACCTGACATAAGGTATATTAAGCTTTTAAAATGCTATGCCCTAAAAATCATTTGCATATGCACACAACTAAATACCTTTCTAAATGCTATGTGAGCAAGCTCTTGCCAAACAATGTCTCTTCTTTTGTCTATGATTTATCAAAAAGAATGTCTAAAATTCAGGATTTCCAAGTATCGCCACTGGGGAAAAGAAGAGGTTCAAGGTCATAAGACAGTTACCTAAAAATCTGGGGTTTGTGCAATTTCCTTAAACTCTCAATTATTTTCAAACAGTTTTTTAAAAACTCTGATTTCCTTTGACATATTCCTTCTAAAAGTTATAATCCAATACTTTTCACTCACATTAGTTTGGCCAAACTCAACTTTTTAAGTGGATAAATGTTTTACAATTATCAAATAAACTAGCAAAACTAAAGTCATTTAAAAGCTAAACTTACTTTTTGGTGGAGGAAGCAATTTAAATCCATGTTTCTTTAGCTGATCCAAAACTGCTTCTTTATTTTCTTCTTTTCCCCACAAAGCCATATGCAGAGGCATGGTAAACGCATTGTTTGCACCAAAAGGAACTATGCTATATTTAGGAGAGGGGGGAAAAATGAGATCTCAGAAGTAGGTTTTTTAAAAACTTTCAGAAACCGTTATATATTCTACAGAGCCAGAGCTAAGAAAAACAGTACCGTTCACAATAGCTAATGACAAGATAAAACATTTGGGAGTAAATCTACCCAAAAGCACAAAGGATCTATTCAAAGAAAATTACAAAACATTATTACAAGAAACAAAAAGAGACCTTGAGAAGTGGAAGAATATCCCTTGCTCATGGATAGAAAGACTCAATATTGTGAAAATGGCAATACTACCAAAGGCAATTTGCACATTCAATGCAATCCCAATATAAATACCAATTCCATTCTTCAAGGAGATGGAAAAGACAATCTCCAGTTTCATACAGAATAGAAAGAAGCCCCAAATAAGCAAAGCACTCCTTAAAAATAGAAAAAAGGTAGGAGGCATCTCACTCCCTGATTTCAAACCCTACTATACTACTATGGTGGTTAAGACAGCATGGTACTGGTACAATGACAGACACATAGATCAATGGAATAGAATTGAGAATTGAGAACCCAGAAATCAACCCATCCATCTACTTAAGGTCACCTGATTTTTGACAAGGAGATGAAATCAACTAGTTAAGTGGGGAAACAAAAGCCTTTTTAACAAATGGTGCTGGCAAAATTGCAAAACTATCTGCAGAAGACTCAAGCAAGATCCACACCTCACTCCATATACAAAAACCAACTCA